TAAATATTCATAAGGCTACTTTGATTTTTTAAATTATTTTGTAATTGCTAATTAAATTTCACCAGTGGAATTTTACATTCTAAATTAGTGAGAAAATTGTATTAATTATAATGACTAATTCATCATTAGACTTGGCTATCTCCTGGAAGTTGTTATAAACAATATCTTCTGTATTATTTGTATTAATGGTTTCAAAAAGGTTACATAACACAAGTCTATAACAATTTGCTTCAATTTATACTTGAATAACAAAATTAGTTCTTTCATATCTGTTTCTGCAAGCACTAATTTGAAAATATGTGAAGGTTGTTTTTCACTAGATACAGAGAGAACCAGCTGTACCAACGTACTGCAAGTAAAGTTAATTTGTCACTCTGCAATGAAGACTTGTATTTTCCAAACATTGCTGAAGGGCTTACCCTTTAATCACAGGTAATCAAACATGCTCCCACTTACACATGCATATGTACAGGCATATGCACAGACACATGCATGCACGCACACATACAATACACATGCATGTCCACCTGCACCCCCACATCCTCCCCCCCTTCACTTACACAGACCTCCCCTCACCACCAGCACACTTGCATGTACGCATGCATACAACCACCCATACGCACACTTTCCATTTCCAGTGAGGTCATATACTGTATGCAATTTTTAAAATCAAATTCAGGTGGTCCCATTAAATTACAGTAAAACTATTTTGATAATTTGTATGAATGTTTTTCTTGTTCATGTATTTTTGTTTAGGAAGCTCCTGCTTAATTCCAATATGTCCCATGTTAAATTATTTCAGATAAGTATTTTATGTTTAATTGTTTTTCTCGCTTGTAGGTTCTTGAGAAAAGTCCCAACTATATAACAACATAGATTACCAGTTAGAACAATTATGCCACTCTAGATGAGCCCCAAGGAATGTGTGCTTGAATCAGGTTGTTTCGTTTTGTTAGTATGTGAGGCCTAACATCCTTCCATTGGAACCTCAAAGGAACTGTGGGCAACAAAAAAATAGTAATGCTAGTGTACAGATACATAATGATTGCATGTTACCCAGAATGGCATAGTGATATATTTTCCAACATTGCAAGTAAACATCTGGCCAGTTTGTATGCGATACATGGGAATCAAGAAATATGGTCTTTGGAGGGAAGTTTTTAATTTTGAGGGAGACATTTGTCTTAGGTGAAGAGAAAGGCAAACAGCCTGTGATCAGACTCTTGAAATATGAGAACTTTCTTTCTTCAGAAGGTTATGAATTAAGAATATTATGTCTAAGAGAACAGTATTGTCAAAATCGATTGAGCTTATATTTTGCACCTACATTTTTCTAATTTTCAGTTGTGCCTTTTCTTACCTGTTCATTTTTCCCTTCAGACCCCTCAAAAATGTGTAAATTAAGATTAACCGTATTACACTTAAATATCACTTTTATTCTCTTGAAAGTTTCAAATAAGAAAAATTGGAATGTTTCAAAATTTTCATTAGTACTTCATTTTGAGACTAAGTTATGCACTTTCCACAATGATCAAAAAAGTTACTTCCCCAAAAAATTGCATTGCAAATACTTCCCAATTCAGAGATATTAATTATTGAATATGCAGATATTTCCTGTTCATAACAGCATCTAGTACAGACCTCATTTCATGCCACTGCACTGCCCTAATATGCCAGAGCTGTTACAGGCCAGATTGTTGGGCACATTTTATCTGTTGTTAAGATGTTCCGGTCATTGAAATACTAATACATTTTAATGTTATCTTTACTATCATTTACATGATGAGCAACTTTAGATGACACCTGAACCATGATGAAAAACATGGGCGAGCTTGTCAAAAATTAAGAAAACAATTAACTACACTAACTCTTATTATTCATACAAGGTATTCAATTACCCTGCCATCTTTATTGTGATATGAATTACATGCACACCTTTATTCACATTACACCTTTATTCATTTTTAATCTACTTCATTTTCTTTTTTAGTAATCTTTTAAATTTCATAATAACGATACTTTCCCTTTTTGATGATAATTTATATAATTAAGTCCATCAGGTCTGCAAATAGGCATGACCTCTGAGAAATTACATATGCTGAGAATTATGTGAAATATTTATCAGCACAACATGAATAAATACTAATTTTTAGTTAATACCTCATAGATCTGTTGTTCATGGAAGTCTATAAATTACAATTTTATTTTAGTTTCACTTTGATTAAACAATAGGGAGGCAATGTCTGTGAAACTAAACAACTACTCCTTTGTATCATCATCTGCTAGGTAAATTTCTGTATTAACAGCTGTGCCTCAAGTCTTATTAGCTACGCAACATCTGGAGTGCCATTTCAGGAATGCTTTGTGAAAGAGTGTACAAGACAACATAAAAAAATTTGAACAAAAGTTAACAGTGGAAGAACATGGCCTCTATCTTGAAAATTCACTAATACCTAGAATTTGCTGATGCTGCCAAAAAATCATGTAAAGGATCACATACAATTTTGGTCCACTCAATACTTCGTTCATGCATGCACACGTGTATGTTACAAAATGTGTAGAAAAAAATTTCTTGTTCCCTCCTCCTATGTATCAGTTTAGAAAAGAAAGAAAAATCTGGCTAAGTTTCAGCTTATTAGGATAAGGACAATCTGTACCACTGAGGAGTTGAAACATATACTGGATTTACAATAAGAAATAGTGTTTTTTAGATTTTTATGCACCTTTTTATTTTCTAATGTTTTGATGAGAAAAAAAAAAAAGGGCCATTAAGAAGATCATGACCATTATAATGAAAGTCAGAACATTCAGAATCTTTTTTCACATTGGATTCATGTTTAGTAACCCCCAAAACTATAGGATAAATTTATTAATAACAAAACAGAAAATTAGAATGTTACATTTAAAAATTTCAGAAACACAATTTTAATGTCATATCCTATTTAAAATTAAGATTTAAATTTCAACCAGTTGGTGGCATGGGGTCAACAATATCTAAATCTGATCAAATTTTGCACTTCTCACATTTTCCTTTTTTCACATTCTAAACCAATCCGAGGGTGGGGAGGGATAAATTCACTTTTTATTAATGAAAGTAACATTTTCTACGGGCCACTCCATTGTGTATTTAAGTAAGTAATGTTATGCATATATGAACATATTTTCATTCATTCACACATTACATAAAATAAAATTTTCCCCAAAACCTGCTATCAATACCACCATGTTAAATATTTTTCTTAAGTGAGAAAGATGTTCTAAGCATTCATTTGAATCTATAACCTACATCTGCCCTTTAAAAAATACAAGATTTATTTCTATAAAAAATTCTACAGTACCTAATATAAATTTTGTTTTTTGTGCTCACATCAAGAAAGTCAAATTACAAGAAATGTATGAAATTGTACTTGCAATACATTGTAACAAACTTGGAAGCAAAACATTTTTTCAAGTGAGTCCCTGGGAAGAATCAACTGACAAAACAACAAAACAAACCATTAATAATATCTACTCCAATTCTCCAACATTTCCTTCAGAAAACCACATGCTACTTCTTATGTTGGCATTTTGATTCATGCGAAATAACAGAAAAAGAAACTGGATAAAACAAAACACATATCGTGGGTATTTCCTTCGAACATGATAGGGTGATGGAAACTGTCAGGAAAACAGGTTACTTTTCGGCATGCAATTAGGCAATTTTTCAACCAAAATAACTGAAGCTGCATACCAATATTGTGTACCATAGTTGAAAAGGGAGCTAAATGAAAGTTGTAATAAACACTGCAGAAAATAAATAACTGTATAAGAAATTTTTAACAAGAAAAAAACAATTATACCAAGCTATCAACTAACTATTACAATGGTAACTGATAAAATGTAATAACTACATTATTCACAGAGTTATACATAAAAATTACAGAAATGATTCTTTGCAGAGCAATGAGAGAGAACAGCAAAAGCTATTACAAAATTACAGTGAAAAATGGATTTTGAGGTATATTTTAATATAAAAAAGAAGTAACGTATATAATACACAAATAACAAGAGAGGCTAGATTTTAATTTACAGGAAAGTAAGAGACAATAATAAGCAGATTTTTAAAAACAGAATACACAGTATTACAATACAGATAATACAATTAGACAACTGAGGAAACTTTTTATCAGGACTTTCAAAATAAACATTTTTCCGTTCATCAAATATTTGCTTGTTCACATTCAAACTGCAACACTCAAATAAAACTAACATTCAAGCCACTACGCCACCACTTCCTGTGGCAAACCCACTTCCTTAGAAAAGAAAGTGAAAATATCTTATCTTCTATATCACAGCATTGCCTTATCTGTAGTAAAAACAACTTCAGTGTCATAGAAATAAATTTATGTAGCCAAATAAATATACTGGGCAATGAAGTTTCTTGGTGAATTAGATATTTAAACAAATAACTTTATACAATGAAAATAAAGAATCCTCTTCCTCCTATGTGGAGTTTTGAGGTAGGAGACATGAAAATTATTGAAATGTTTCCCCTCTCAAAATGATAATTATACTTAATAATTTGAGCAAAATAAAAACCAAATTAAATAAGTCTCAACCTTATTCTACAATTACAGATTAACAATCGATTCTATAAATCAGAACATTAAATCATAGAAATTTAGCACTGAAATATAACAACATTATTATTTATTTCTGAGAGCTAAGAGATATGGTATTTAAAAACTCCGCACTCAAATGATATTCAGTTCTTTTTCTCCAATGCAATCTCAAAAAAAGATTTCGAAGAAATGAGAAAAACAGACAAGACATACAAAACCGCAATACAACCATTTCAAACAATTGAAAATACTGATACAACCATGCCCCCAATCATATATGCAAATACCAAAGCAAGAAAATTGAAAGCTCCGAGGCCCTCTATCGAGTCAGAGTGCTCTGAGAAGCGGCCCTCTCCAGCCCTCTGGTTGCAAAGCAGAAACAACTGCAGCCACACTCACCGGATTCCCACCCGTCCTCCTCATCTTCTTCATCCTCTGCTGTGGTGTCAGAGTCCGTGGAGTCAGCCTCTGAAGACTCGCTGGGGGTCTCCCGAAAGCCAGGTGGAGGCGCAGAGGGGCGAGGCCCAGTTGCCAGCCACGATGGCTCTGTTGGAGGGCCTTCGTCCAGGCCAACTGGCACTCGGAGCATAAACAAACTCACCTATGGGCAATAAATACATCAACACCTGTTAACATACCAAGTTGTAATGTTGTACCTTGAATTAATTGTAGAGACCAAGGAAATTCTGATGTTTTAATAGCAGTCATAAATTAATTGAATTGGCAACGTGTTGCTTTGTAAATAATTAAGAATTTTTAATTGCCAGTCTATATTTTATAGAATGTCAATTAAAAGATAAACATGTTCCATTCAATGTGTATATATATATATTTGAATCAAATGGGGTGTTATTCAGACTTGGACAACTGGAAGTGAACTGATGATTGGTTTGCAGATCCAGAAGATACTACAAAATTTCTCCCAAAACAAGAGTTTTTGCATTTTTTGGGGAACTCAAAAATATTTTTAGCAACATACAGCACGTACAGAGATGATTAAGATCTCATTTGATTCCCCTCAACGAGACAAATGGACTGGCATTGCTTTTAGGTAGATCCCTGATCATAGGAAAACAATGTTAGGGGGTATTACAAGGCACCTTCTGAATTACTACAAATACTGCCTTTCCAGCATAACGCGAATCCTTAGGACAAGTTTCATAATATACACAATATTTAAATTTAATGATGTGAGGAAACATACACTTTTTTTTTAAAAAAAAGTACTTCTGTTGATGTCTTATATTCATTTTAAAATAAAAATATCTTTGCATATTTTCAAACGCTAAATGAAGACTTGGTTACTTGGACATGATAATGACACAAGTCAGCTAACCCAAACATTTCAATAAAATCTATGTAAATTGTAAGAAAAGTTATTTAATTAAATTTGTTCAAAGAATTGGTTGCTCCGACAGGGACTGGAACCCAGGCCTTCTGTTTTACGCCCAGCTGCTCTAACCACTAAGCTACTGAGGCAACCGTGACGTGGAACAGTTTTCACGAGCGTGATTATTGCTCCTCATCCAACAAGGTGATGGGATGGTGACAAATATATATAGTTATTTAGTTTGTTAAAGGAGATGTATTTTATAGACCTATGAAATACATTTCCTGAAATTATTTTCTAAGTCATCATTCATCTTTGATATTAAGGCTTAGGTGCTGTGTATTTTTTAACATGAAAATAACAGTATAAAATACTTTGATTCATTTGCAAGACCATGTAAGAAATTAAGGATTTATGGGAACAAAGATGTTCATTATATTACTTTCATAGAAACAGCACATTTCCAAAATAAATGGAAATGAAAACAATGAACAAGCTCACAATTCAAAAGAAAGATGGTATCATGTTCTTCCTTTTTCTGTCTTTGAAGCTTTCATTCAAAATTCCCACTGCCATTCCTAGAGAGAATAGGGATTCGCATGCAACTGTGATGACAGCTAAATGTGACGCCAGTAAGGCAGCTCACAACCCAGATGATGAATGACTATACCGGTCACTGGAGAATGCTACTGCCTGGAAGCCACTGTTTTCAGTGCGAGTTGCAGGGATTGGAACACTCAGAAGGAAAATGTTCTTTGTCAGTTTTGACACCCCATTGAATATTATAGGATAATTGTAACCCATAGTGTAGGATAATTTTATTATGTGTAACTTTCTTTCTCTTACTTTTTTTTTTCTGCATATATGCCAACTTGGACCATGTGTGTATCCTACTTTAGCAGGTTCTGAATCCCAATTTTTATCCCCCAAGGTTGTTACCCTGGAGGAATGGATGATGATAGTGAGAGGTGAACGTACGGCATTCACATATGGACATACTCAAATACACCCATGCCTGAGGCAGGACGAACTCACAGTCCTGTGGACTGAGACTGCTACGGCACTACTGCCCTAACGACCTCGGCCATCTGACCGGCTTGTAACATATGATAATGCTAATGGAATACTCCTCTTTTGTAGAATAATTTCAACAAAAAAATATATTCTAATATAAATCTATAAGAACGGAATAGTATGTTCTACAATAGGAGCTTGCCAATATACAAATTTTCTTTAGTAATCCATCTAATAATACATTGAAAGAATGTACTCTTCAGATCAACTTTTCTGGCAATGCTTGTATTAGGATCTCAAACAATGTATTCTGGAGTAGATAATAGCCATAGTTTGAAAGAGCAGCTCTGATTACTTATCTTTTTTGTAATTTTTTAAAAACTTACATAATTTTCATTCATAATAAGGAATTTTCCACGTAATATGCTCAAGGACAAAAACAGGCAACTGCATGTTTAAATTTTTTTTTTATTTACAGCTTGCTTGGCAGAAATTTTCAATAGGTGAACATCTTTTGAAAACAGTTCAAAGTGTCTGTGACACCAACTTCAGCTGGTCTGTATATGCTAAAACAATATTTATATAATTCTATAATAAAATTTTTTATTTTTAAACCATACTCTCAAAACTAATTTACAAATAACTTTGTAATGGAATTAAGGGGCCATGTACTTTCTTTTGTTCCTCAGATTTTTCATTCCAAAAAGAGAGAATTACAATGTACAGGTCATAAGATAAACCAACTAAATTCAAGTAATGGAGTTTTTTATTATAAAGAAGTTTGATACAAAAAGTTTATACTATGTGGTTACTGTTGTTACGCGAAACGTTAGCTTGGAAATTTCTATAAAAAAACAAAAATATGCCTTTGATTTTTTAGAGGTTGGCATTTCAAATACTCTAGTGGCTGACAGTAACTAATAACCCCACTCTATCTGCATTGCTTCAATCCATTGGACAAGAAAAGTTTCAGAGATATTATCACAATTGGGGATTGTTAAAAAATGTCTGTCGACCGACAACACTAGTACCTAAACCCTTCACAAAATTTTATTCAAAAAGGGTATTTTCTAATCAATCTGGCCATACTTAAGGCCCTATGAATTCCAAATGGATCTTTTAATTTGAATCTGCTAGGTCACTTTCGGAATTTCTAAAAATTGGCTCCACAACAACTTTGAATTTTTTGCTTGAATAGAGCACAAAGTTTATGTCACAGGAGTGTTTTTCTTTAAAACCTCCAAATTTTTGAAAACTTGCAAAAGTAAAAACAAATATTTTAGACTACCTACCCCAGGGTGGATCAACTAAAAGTAAAAAAAAATATTTTAGACCCTACCTACCTCAGGGTGGATTAACTAAAAACTTGCCTAAATTTTAAACTGTTCTTGAAAGTACTTACACATGATGCCTTGCAAAGTGTAGAAGTTCGTACATAATGATTTTCATCTGTTATGATTTTGTGGCATGATTTGTGTCTTACACACTTGTTGATGGCCTTTGTTTCTTTAACAGTTTTTCCACATTATATAACATAATCTTGCAAATGGAATCATTTACTGTTCGTGTGATAGGGTACAGAACTACAAACTCTTGCATCTCTGACTTCATTTCACAAGTAAAGTTTCCAAGATTGGGAAGTTTTTGCTAACAAAATATATTTTTTATGTCGTTGGATGTAGAATGTGTTTCAGTTACGGTGTGCCACAGTTTCTTAAGCAAAATAAGATGTAGATCACTTACGCAATTGCAATCTGTAATGGAATTTAGGGTTTGCACTCCAATTAACTTGTACAAATTTGACTAAACTTTAGAAATCAAATATTCAAATCATGTTGTGCACCACCAGCATTAGGTTCAGACTTCCTTCTTTCTAGATAATGACTTTGAAGTTATTTAATATTAAGAGTTAAAGCGAAGCATGTAGTTCAAAAAGATATCCCGCTTCAAGCAAGGCCCTCTGAGGTAGTAGTCCTCCCCCAGGGCCTAGAGCCCACCTTGACGATTAACTTTGCAACAATGTCTTCCTCATGTCTGATTTAATTCAAACCACCCTTTATATATTCTCGATACTTTTAAAAACAATGTGTAAAAATTTAAGCTGAATCAGTAGAGTAGTTTTTGCATCTATATGGGACAGACAGACACACACACACAATCCTTTTTATATATAGGAAGATTTTCATCTCTGTAATATATTTCATTACTTTAAGTGCTGAAACATGTTAATTTATTATATATAAACTGTAGCTTTTGTCCATACAAACATCTCTCATTCCTATTTTAGTTCATATGTACACATCACCCCAGTGTAGCTCACTGCCCATCACACGCAAACGCCCACCTCGGCCCTCGTCAAAACTCAATGCGGTTACAGTTCTGCTGGCGTCAAGCATAGTTGCCTTTTTAAAGAAATCCATATCACCAGGATTGCAGGGAAAAAAAAAACCTACATTCCTAAAAGGTTAAATTTCCCCTTTCCATTATAAAAAAGAAAAGAAAAGAAGAAGAAAAAAGAAAAAGAAAGTTGTGAAATATTTTTAAAAAAATTAAAAAAATATTTTAGTGTTTTCCTAAGATTCCCAATTTGCATTTTTGACACAAGCAGTCCTGGTGTCATTGGCAGTGGAAGGGATAATTCACTATTCAGATAAATAATGTATTTAGTTAAGTCCTCCTTTCCTTACTCTCTTCATACATTCAATATATCAGAAGTGTTTTGAAAAAGGGCACTTTAAATGAGCAGAAAATTCCCATTACATTTTTTTGAAAACTAAATTAAATTAATCAAAATAATAATAACAAACCTTGAAGTCTTCACTGTACAGTTTATTTTGTTTGTCCTTATGGGCATCATCCAAGCCCCATTTGTCTAACCTCAGAAGAAGCATCTTTGAGTCACTATTAAGAGATGCTAAGGATCCTGTCCTGTAAAACAAATAAATCAGAAAAATTACATTTCTTTTTGTAATATACACTTGTGTATCAATACTATTTGAAAGTTTACAAATACTATTTCGCTGTAAAACTAAGGGCTGAGGTGCAGGTGTTTGTCACAATCACACTGGCAATTTTGTCAGCTTTCATATAAAATGTAGTAACTATTTTGCGACATTGTACAGTTTTTGATATACAAGTTTAAAAAAACAACAACAATATTTACATCAGAGCTGTATTTCGAAATATTTTGATGTAAACTTGTCATAAAAAGCCCCATGATGTGCAGAAGGGGATGTAGAAGATTGCTATTTTGGTTTTTGCTTCATCTCAAGAAAAAAACAGATAAAATATACATAAACCCTTAACCATATACCATACCCTTTCGCCATATACATGCACCAACACAGGTAAAGAAACCACAAACACTTTGAATTATTTATTGAATAATGTTTTCATTGCATTATTATGTATTGTTGAATTTCATTTATACGATGGTGCACTCCTACGCTGGGAAAAGCTTTAAGCTTCTCAGTGGGGTCATGTAGTGAATGTATGTGTGTAAGAGGAAACAAGAAAATGGAAGGAAATATAGTGATTGTACATTGCCCATTTGCTACAGTACTGCTCTGGCAATGGCTTGGAACTGATTGGAAAGACATGGCGGGCCAGTCAGTCCATCCCTGCCTTGGCCAGCAGGTCGCTCCGTTGTTTCATCAACTGGTCTGCCAGCAGGACAACCACCATAAATCCAAATTTATTTTCACGCGTTTTCCCCGAGTTCTTATCATTTTTTCTGTGCGAACTGTACCTTTGTAGTATTACTTATATAACTGCACTATTTACATTATAATTATAATTTCAAATAAATAGAGAATTCTTGTTTTATTTCACGTTTAATGAATCAAATACAACATATATGTGGTAATATCTTTCATATATAAAATAGATTATAATTTTCTTTGATAACCTTTGAAAAATAATCACAAAATCACTGATCTTTATTAAACGACTTTTTGATCATTTTCCCTTCTATGTATTAATTTTGATTTGGTGGTGAGCTTGCTCATTGCAAAATTCTTCTTTTTCCTTATCCAGCGTACCCAATTCCTTGCCCTTTATCTTTTTCTGCTCTATCAGAGTTGGTATACCAACTCTGTTTCTCTAATTCCGTTTCCCATTGCTTTAGTCTTCAGTGTTTTTCTGCTTAGTTAAGACCCCACCAGCATAGCAAAGCATGTCTCGATCAAGTATGATGGCATTTTTCTCTAACTGCAGTTTAAGGTCATATTATCGAATGCCAGTTGTTGTAGCTCTAATGTGCGCACGGGTAGATCCCATAATAAGCAACATAAGCATAAATTTCATGAAGATATAGAAACAAATTTCAAACCATTGGCTGTGGGTCTTTTCTCCTCACAGTTGTTTAGAGAGCTTGCAGCATTACAGTAATATTAAGTGCCAATTTTCAAATACAATAGACAACGTTTTATAGAGTATCATGTAATTTGTTAGTTTAAGGCTTAAAATGACATAATTACCTTAAAATAATTATTTAAAAATGATTCTTACAAGTAATAAAATTTGATCATAAATAGTTCAATCGGTCAATTAGAAATAATTGTTGGCTTGAATCCTACATCTGTGTCTACATGTTTTCCCTGTGCTTTTTCTAGAATTGAAATTCCCTGCGTTTTCCAGAAAGTTGTCACCCTTGTCAGTCTATCGCTTTATTAGTCCTTGCCCATTTTCACACCCTGCCCATTGAAAAAACAAAACATATTTATCCACTGATCCATACATCCATATATACACATCAATTGATTACAGTACCATTGCAGTATGCATGCCATGGCAAGCTGGTACAGAAGTGTGATTCAATGCACTGCCATATGATTCAGCGCACTGCAGTGCGATTCAGCACAGTGCAATGTGGGGCAGTGTGGGGCAGAGCGTGGTGAGGTCGGGTGTGGCGAGGATGAAGGGACATAGGTTGTAACTGGCGAGAGGAATGGCAACATAAGTAGCAATACAAATAATTTGAAAATGCTGCCATTAGGTTCTGGAGTGGTGAAATCAAAAGTGGGAGCAAAGGGGTGGATTTAAAACCTGTGCACTCACTACTCTACCACCAAATTCTGCAGAACTAGTGATTATTTGAGGGTGGTGCCATTTCTGAATGGGACCCAAGTTTTCAGAAACCTCTCAGCCCCCTGGATGGACATTCAGTCTTTCCTCTACGGTATCATGCATAACTGTGGCAAAATAGAACCTTTTGAGCTCTAATATAGTAGACATGTTTGGAGTAAAGTCTGTTAAAACGGATGGTGCTACAGGTTTCGAAGATATCAATGTAACTTTGTTCAAAAAAGAGAAGAAGGTAAAAACAACAACAACAACTCCAATGTCCTCTGAGGGACACACACAATTTTTAAAAAAAATGAGGCTCAGTATATACTTTTTTCAGCATTTTAATGGTTATAATATAATAATCATGAAAATTCTGACAAAAGTATTTATTATTATAATATATTATATTTAGTATTATATTTTGGGCTATTACACCTTTCTGTAACAAATAAAATGAATAAATAAAAGTTGTCAAAACCGCTAGTTTGAAGTAATGGAGCTGGGATAACAGGATAAGGCTACCCACCTCTCTAAGATTTAAACAGGAGTAATGGGAGGGAAGTCAATCCAGATAGTCGGCTACACAAAACTCTTGAAATAATTATTACATAAATTGTAACATTCCCTCCAAATTATTACAACATCCTAATTCAGAATAGTAAGAAAAGGGAATGTTTCAGTATATGGTATATCCCTAGTGGTGGTTGTTTGGTTAATTTTTAATTTATTTGTAGGTGTAGGTGTGTAAGATCATAATTTTACAGTGTACTAAATTGCACAACTCTCAAATCACTTACTACATTATCTAACAATACTATTTTGGTAGTTTCTTAGTTTTTGTTTATGAATTTTGAAATTTTCATAAAGTATGGAATATATTTTTGTGATATTAATCTGACTAGAGGCAGGAGACTTTCTTTGATTTGGTTTCTGAGCTGTATCCAGGTGATTTTGGTCTATCTACAAACTGTTCATACTGCAAAAAACCTGCAAGCGTAAGTAACACTAGAATTATGATTTCTGTAACTTTTGTGAAAATATTTTTTTTCTGATGTTGAATTTGATGAACTTTTATCTATTTACCCTGAGTTTTCTTTATTTTTAATTCATTAATGGTAGCAGCAACACGTTGTTACACACATATGTAATCATATTGCATAATACAGTGTTTCTATTTTGTACAATACTAAGTTCAAATATCATTATAATCATAATCCATGGCTCATTTACTTATCTTATCAAATATAACATAAGTTTATCGCAAATATTTTTATATCACATCAGAATATCATTCATCACTATTTATATACTATTTTATTTATTTATATACTATCTATATACTATTTATAACTCAATTTTGTCCCAGTTATTTTTAAACGCACTCAGAGTTTCCTTTTCGATGTATTCCGCTGTAGTTTATTCCACGCATTGACTATCTATTGGTGATAAAATGTGCTCTTTGTCCAGTCTTGTTTTCTCTTTCCTCGATTTCATCTTGTGTCCCCGTAGTCTATCATCAGTAGATCTTGTAAAGAGGGATTCTTGTCGTGGGTTTTGAATAGTCCATTCAAAATTTTATCTGTTTCTACAAGATCGGTTCTAGTTCTTCTCTGTTCGAGTGACAATAAGGACATCTGTCATCTTTCCTGGTAATTGGAATCTAGGTGATTTTCTCTTGGTATCTTAGTTACTAGTTTTTGTATTTTCCCCCCGACATTGTTCGTCTTTTTTATAATATGGGGGCCAAACTACATTAGCACACTCCATATGGGTCGAACATATGTTGTGCAAATTTTCCCAACCGTGGGGCTGTGTAATTTGGAGAATGCCTTTCTCATAATATACAGAGCACGGTTTGGTCACCTGGCCACTGCTGCAACTTGACATTTCCATTTCAGATCATGAGAAATTAGTACGCCCAGATCGTTTTGTAGTACTGTTATGTCCAAGGTGTTATCTGCGATAGTGTAGGGTAGTCTAGGATTTTTCTTACCAATATGGAGGATTTTGCATTTTTTAGAATTCAGCAGAAGCCATGCCTTTGACCAGTTTTCCATTGTGATCAAGTCTTTCTGTAAGGTTTGATAATCAGTTAATAGGTTTGCAAACAGTTTCGTATCATCTGCGTAACAGTTCCATTTTGATACAATCTCATTTCCAAGGTCACTAGTATATAAGATGAACAGTAACGGTCCCATTTTTGGTCCCCATTTTAGCTATTATTTTAGTGAAAAAGCATCCTGCACCCAATATCATTTAATTTATGAGATACAGGGTAATAAAGAATTATATTTGTTTGGAACTGCACTTCCTCAATTGTCTTTTCTCATAAAATGAATTCTAATAACATATTTTCAGATTGGAACATGCCATTTAAAAGTAAACAATCCGAATCATCAGTTCAATCGGCTGGAAATAAATGGACAAAGAATTTGACAACACCTACAACGCACCAACCCATCGTACCAGAAAGAAGATAAAAGAGATCACGTGCAAAATGCCTTTTAACAGACGCATTGTTGGTAGATTTTTGGGGCTGTATGAACTCCAAGGGCGAGCTGAGCGAAGAAGAAAGATAGCATATGAATTGCTGAAACATTGGGAGAAGCTAAATTTCCCACTTCTTTCTATGCAGAAAGTTTCTGCAAAGGTTGACAAGCTGATAAAATTGTTCGAGAAGTAGGGGGGGGGGGGCAAGAAGAATTTGAAAAAAAATTCACTCAGTTTCAATGTTACAAAGCAGGGTGGAAACTGACTTTGCAATGAAGACAAAGAACTTTATAGAAAACAAATTGAATCAGTAGGAAAGATTGGAATCAAAAAGTTGCTCCTATGAAAGCGAAATATCCTTCAAAGTGGCA